TTTGCAAATTGTGTTATTTGTGTAGTAATGTCCAGTGGCGTTCCAGCCTTGTTATTTGGCCAGTAGCGCTCCTTTTTGGTTTCTAAGTTTAAACCAGAAATTTACCCGCATTCATATAATAAAAATTGAGATTTATTTTGTGTCCGCTGTGTCCAGGGACGGAGCACCGTATTAGGGCGTACAGATCTCTCACAAGTCAAAAATCGCTTTTTTTTCAGAAAGTAATCCACTCCATTTGCTGAGCATATTTTACTGTAATACTGTAAAAGACTGTCAGCTTATAAACGCCTATTCCACTGACATCTAAATCAGTCTGATGGATCAGCATTTGCTGTCTTAATTAACAAGCAACTTCTGCTCTAAAAGCTACCAGCTTCATTCACAGATGTGTCATACTCATCAGTACTTAAACACTTCAAGACTCTTCAAAAATCTGCCGCTCTTCAGGATTCTGAGAATGCGATACGAGCGGCTCAAAAAACAGCAGTGCGATGTTTTCAGGACGGCGACAATTTGCTGAATCTGGACAGCAAGTAACGAAAAAACAACAAATCAATGTATGCTCAGGGCGAATCGGCGAACGTCTTGTGATTCGTACTACAACCCTTACTGGACAAGGTTTACGTTACACGCTCACTCGTCCACTTCGTGGTACGGAACCTAGCCTCAGTCGATCTTCATCGCAGAAGTATCAACGGAAAAGCTGCTCCGATGGCGCTTTTGACATTTCGAGCAGCAGCCTCCCAACAACAGCAACAGCTGCCTCCGAGAAAACACTGTTCCGCTGCTCCTCTGTGGATTCACAGAACGGCTTTTTTGGAAAGGCTTCTCTGGACAATGGGTCGTCGTGGTCATCATCGCCCCCTTCTCCGTCACCATCTTCACAAAAGCAGAAATCCAACGTAAGTAACAAAAGAAATGTGAAGTTTTCTTGCAGTTTCCCATCCATCTCAGCTGCTAAACCCTCATTCACCTCAACTCCGGAAAACCGTTTATCAGAGTTAAAGTGTTGGCAGCAGCGCAGTTCCGCCGATGACTTCTCCAGAACGCCAGCATTGCCATCGCCATCCCATAGCCAAAAGTTGCCGCCT